AAAGGGTGCACAGCGTGCAATCACTGAGGTAGCTTTATTACGAGCTGAGAATGCTACACTTCGTACAGCAAATGATCAACTTAGTCGGCGTCGTCGTACGAAAAAGCGCCGATGACAGGAAGGAGGATCACTTACTCTCCAAGATGCGCAAGATTTAGGGGTCCTTAGTAATGTTGATTCGCAAGAACAAGTGGGTTTAGTAGAAAATAGTAATTGTACGAGCCCGAGTCTAGTACCTCGCCGGCGCTGTGAACTATGTGGGAAACATGGCCATAACATACGAACTTGTCAAAAAGGAGAAGAAATATGTGAGGATTCCGATTCTGAATACTGTAATATACTGTAATTAATTTAATTAATTGTGTCGTGAGATATTTAAGAATTTATAAAATGCCAAGAAAAAAATCCATTTCGCTTGGGAATCCAACTCGCTTGTGGACTACGTTATATTATATTATCTGATAAGACTTTTCGATTGTATGGTCGAGGGCTGAGATAATACTCAAAGTAGTGAGTTGAAATCCAAAGTGTGTTTTCTTTTGAGAAATGAGACCAGATAGAAGGATTGCTTTTGTCAAGGACAAATTATATTGATGAACAGGTAATCTTACTTGAATATATTTCGAATGGAAGAATTGACTTGTTTAGCACTTTTCCATCGAGTGTGTTTTGCAAGACAAGAGGCATTGTATGATTCCGCCCACATCTCTTGCCTTGAATCCATGCATCCATAATCGCCAAAACGCCTCTTCCTATATGCACTTTTTTAATACACTTACTCCATACATCGCAATCCACAAGACATCCCATCATTGTAATCGTACCGATTTCCGCCACTTTGCCACCAACCTCTCGAATAATGATCGATTCGGCGCGGCAGACAATTCTTCAACCAAGTCGGTATAATGTGTTGGGTTGCTTGCTGGCTTCATGATTGGACCTAGTGGAAACTGCATTTCTCGCATCAGTACAGTTATGCGATGGCCGAATAGAATGTAAACCAACCTTTCTTGTATACTGGTTCCCAATCAACGAGAATAGAGCATGGACTTGATTCATCTCCGCCTCTTCATTTTTAGGAGTGGTTGCGGCAGGCTTTGCGCCCTCGAGCGCTTTTGGTGGGTTGAATTTCTGCTCAATTCGTTTCTGCATGACATCTTCGAATCGACACTCTGGGCGCAGCGCATCTTTGGGCCATTGCGAGAGCGCACGCATGTAATGTTTGTAGATTGCCTGGTGGTTTGTTAGCAGATACGATGACGAGGATTGCAGTCAGACTTACTGCTCGAGACATCTTGACATCGATCAATCTATGGGAAAGTCAAATGTCATTCACGTTCCCCACGAGTCTTGACGTGGGCTATGTCCCATGTCCCATGTGCAATACCTACCTAGCTGTCGGAGTTAAATTGGAGGAGGGTCCGGGCTTACCATATCCAGCCACTTTTAGTGGGTCGGTGTTCGGTATTCGTATCAGCCACAGCGTGTGACAGTGAAGGAACTCCTCCTGAGTTGCCCCGGGCAGTGGCAGCTGGGGCGCCTACCGACAACCTCCTCTCAATCCGGTCCCTATGCCCTCTTCCCTCTTCCTCCCAACCACCACGCCTTCGTGATTCATCATCTCTTTCGTTAATTACCAGACTCTACCAGAGTCGGCGCCTTTCGCCTTCTTGTTTCCTTTCCCTCTTCTTCTTCATTTCTCCTCCACCTAACCATGGCTTCTCAACGATATGAACGGGTACGTGCTGAATACGACGATCGTGGCGAGGCCCTTTCAGCCGTCCCACTCCCACCATCACGATACCCTCATTGCTAACAACAGTGCAACAGATATCTGCCAACGACGACGATACACCTAACACACCTACCGTTCCTCAATCCCCCCCTCCATCCTTTCGATCGCGCGATTCTTCACCCATCCCAAGACGAGTTTCACACAGTCCCCACTCTTCCGTAGATCAAAACCTCGCCGACACATTTGACGCAGATGGATCGGACAGTGATGAGGAAACCGATGGGGACGACAGACAGAGACTGATGCGTGGAACGCCTTCTACTTCTGCTGAGCAAAACAACTCCGAATCGATATCGGCTTCCAGCCGCCCCCCGGTGATAGAGCGACGAAATACACATATCCCAGCCTCTGTTTCACCACCGAGACCGACGCCTAATGGAAGGGTTTATGGAGGAGGTTCGGGTTCGGATGGTGTATTTGCAAATTTGAGCGCAAAACCAGAACGAGGCGCAGAGAAAGAGGAACATCCACCTGTATGTTGGAAACAAATGTTTATTTATAATCCCAAGCGTTAACATGTAACAGACCTACGAACAAGCAGCCGCAGACGCAGCGCCTCCATATTGGGAAACCACGATTCTCGCTCCCGGACTCGGTGGACCAGACGATGTTTACGTAGACGGGCTACCAGTTGGATCCGTTTTCTCCTTCATTTGGAATGCTATGATATCCATGTCTTTCCAACTCGTTGGTTTCCTTCTCACCTACCTCCTTCACACCACCCACGCCGCCAAAAATGGCTCTCGCGCTGGTCTGGGTATTACACTGGTACAATACGGATTCTACATGAAAGGCAATAACGAACATCCTGGACCCAACCCCGCCAACGACCCACAATACGCTCAGCCTCCAGACCCAAATAGTCATGATTTCGACCCATCACAGGTACAGGCTGGAGCGGCGGGGATGGATGGATCGTCAGGAGGGATCGGCGATATTGGAGGAAGCGAGTGGTTGGCGTATGTGTTGATGATTGTTGGGTGGTTCATCTTGATCAGATCGGTTAGTGACTTTTTGCGGGCGAGGAGACATGAACAGTTGATTTTGGCGAGTCCTGAGAGAGGACTGAATGTTCCTATAATTGCTACAGGGGAGGAGGCGGAGACTGTTGTCTAAACAGCACGAAACGGGAAGACTTTGAATTTCTTCTTTTCCTTTGAGTGCAGAAAGCAGAAAATGGAAATTCAAGATGAAATTCTCCGCTATTGGGTTTTCCTTTCTTTTATTGTGGCTATGTAAGAGATACTCTTATTGAGGTATATCTTGAGTTCCTCAGAGGGGGGTTTCCTTTTGTTTTTTTCTGTGTGTCATCGTCGGCTTCTATTATTTAGTACCAGTAACCCCTTACCCTGGGTACCTTTTTGTCGTCTCATTTGTTGTATTCTTTTTCTTGGATCAGACAGCGAGGCGTTTGTTATCTATGTGCATTGAGTGAGTGGATACTCGTAGGCAGAGAAACAGAGAAACGGAGTAAAGTAGAGTGAACATATACTAGAACACCGTTTTTTTTATATGCGTGAGTGGGTGAGTGTGTGCGTGAGTGGTTGGGAGATGTAGTTTTTATAGAAATTATAGGGAGGTGAATAATAAATGGGTTAAGTGAGGGTTTGATGGTGTAAGTTTTGGGGATGCGGTTACGGATGTGTTTTTGGTTTTTTTGAAGGTTGGAAGTTTTGCTTGTATGGTATAGGTTATATTTATATTCATTGTTTGGATTTGGATTTGAAATGCTGTGATGGTAGGTCCCCTTTTTTTGGTAGAAGAGGAGGAAGCTGGAATAGTAAGATTCGTAAGGAAATGATCTCGCTCGAGGCGTAAGTTATAGAGTTATAGGGGAAAGAGTAAATCGGTTTAACCAGGTAATATTAAGATATTCTATTCCCCTATAATAGCCTCGGGAGGCTTATAAGTTATTTGTTAATTGGAGATTTTAGTTATTGTTTTATTCATTCTATTCTTTACTTGTATAGATAGATTTGTTTATTAATAAATATATACTTATAAGTTAGTATCGAGGTCGCTATACCCAGGGCACGGCTCTTATAAGTCATATTTTATAATTAATTTATTGTTTTATTTTAGAAGCTAGGAAGAAGAGTTAGTTTATACTAGGTACTCGACTAGAAAGGACTAGAAAGGAATTTTAGAGGGGGTACTTAAAGTAAGGTTACTAGGTAGTATATAAACTTTTACTTTTATAGGGATTTTAGGTGAGTTTTAGTAGGGGGGTATCGTATAGTAAGAGGGAGTCTTAGTAGAAGTAAGTTTTATTTAAAGGGGGGTATTAAGGGGTAGGGGTAGGAAGAGTAAGATTTAAGAGAGGTAAGATTTAGAAGAAGTTAAGCTTACTAATAAAGACCTTGTATAGGGACTCTAAAGGTGAGTTTTAGTAGAAGTAAGTTTTAGTAGAAGTGAGTTTTTATAGTAGTGAAGTATTAAGAAGTAAAATCTATAAAAGTGAAAATTAACAAGTAACTTATACTATACTAAACTAAATAACAAAAGCCCTCTATTTATGTAACAAATCCCCTCTCCTAGCTTTAATTCATTCCTACTTTATCCTTACGAATTTATCTTTAATTTCTAGTTTCTACCTACTTCTAACAGGGTTTCACTAGATCCACGAAGCGGGGGAAGAAGTGAGTTATATTCTAGGTGAGTCGTTAGTCGTATAATAGGTAAGGTTTGTAAGAAGTGAAAACTATAAGAACTGAAATATATAAAAAGTGAAATCCATAGGAAGTGAATCTTATTAGACATGAGATCTATAAGAAGTGAAATGTATAGGAAGTGAAATCTAAAAGAGGAATTTTCTATTTGTAATACGTTATACAGGAAGTGAGTTATATACTAACTGACTTTTAAAAAAAAGTGATTTCTACAAGAAGTGAGTTATATAAAACACATCTCACCTCCCTCACTACAGCCATAAGAAAACCTTGATGATACATATAGAATACCACACCAACTAATCTACTGTACAAAATACAATTCGTAATCCTATACTTTTCATTCCAAGTCCCCAAGCCTTCCTCTCGCTCGTGAACCTAATTAATACAAGCTCAAAAATCCATGGAAAGATATCCACCAACCAACACCACAATGCAACCAACCAAACCCCCTTTGACGCCCGTCATGCCAGTAATCAGTACTCCTACAATACAAATTTTGTTCCCCCCATCCAGCTTGAAAAGCACATCCGCGAATACATTCCAACCAACAATCTAATAACGATACAGTCCCACTAGTTGTATTGCAACTCTCCGTTTCCTGGTTTGCCTCCTTTGGCTTGCATCGATTGTTGGTAATTCTGGTATTGTTGAAACTGCTGCTGGACAAGTTGCTGAGGAGTCTGATACTGTTTTTGAAGCGGTGGGAAATCCTCGTAGGTGACGGCGGCATTATACGAAGGAGGAGTGCCAGAGTGATTCCGGTCAACATCATCCAGTGACCGGTATCCATGGCCTCCTCCTCGTCCTCTACCACCGCGGCCATTACTACCACGACCTCTTCCTCCTCCATTTCCACGATTACCTCGTCCTCCCCGACCACCTCGGCCATTGTAGTTTTCCTTTTGATTGTGATTTCTCCCCCCTCCGTGATTACCACCATTGTTTCCATAGGAGCCACTGGACCTGCTCATATCATCGTCATCATGCTTCCGCTTTAAAGTCTTGTTTGGAAACAAACTCTCGTACTCATTTTCTGTGGAATTCTCTTCTTCTATGCGAAGCAGAATTTTCTCGCCAACGTAACTTTCGAAAACGAACTGCTTCTCAGGGGGAACAGGCTGCCAATTCTGGATCTTACCTGCGTCGATTGGGCGAGCACCCTTTCGAAGAGCAAGCACTACGATTGGACTTGGGTTTTCAGTATAGTACTTTGTGGTTTCTGGAACAGGTTTCACCGAAGCTGCCCATATCTTGCTCTCAAAGACTGCAGTACCTGTGACTTCCCAGGTAGTCTTACTCCCCATGCCACCCACCTTCTCAAGGATGCTTTCTGGTGCGGGACGAGGAGTAATGAGAATGTTGTTTGCAAGAAACTTCATCTCTGCATCTGGCATATTAGGTGGGAGCTGAGCTAATGTAAGTAGCTTCTGAGTGTCAGTTTTGCTGATCAAATATCCGGTATAGAAAACTGTCTTTTTGATCTGAAGACGTGTGCCTCGTCGGGCTTTGGTGACTTGAGTATTATGATCATTGAGCAACCGCTGGACTTCAGCCGTCTCAAGAACAGGATCCAACTGCGTGGCACCATCAGCAACTTGGACTACCTCGGCGACAATAGGGCCACGAGTTGGTGCACCGCCCATGCCATTTTGACGTCTGTTGTAGTCGGTGAAATATTCTCTAAAGGCCTTGACATGACGGATACGATCTTCATAGATCCTGATTTCCTCTGCCGACTTGTATGTCTCCATCAGGCACTCCAGAAGACACTGCTTGAACATCATGGTACTCGAGAAACATTCCTGGTTTGGCCCACGCGGGGGTTTCAAACAAACCATATCGAACTCGAGGCCTTTGGAGGTCACCATCTTCTTGATCAACTCTGCAAAAGCAGGTTCCGCACGTCCAGTCAGGAGAACTGTCAATGCGTCCTTCTGCTCCATGCTGAGCCTGATCAGCTCGACAATTCGTTCGTTCCACCAGCCCTCCCAAGCTCGAGGCTCTTCTTTCTCGACGCCCTCACCAGTAGCTCCAAGGATGCGCGCATCATGCCACCATCCGCCATTTATGATACCTTCTTGTGTCTGCAGGAAGCCTACGGTAGGACCATTCCATAATTTGGGATTTGGGAGGGGGCTGTTGAAGACTGGGATCGTGTCAGTACAAGCGCAGGCGCATCGTATCGCGGATGGTTACTTACGAGTATTATCAAAATCGTAGACATGAATTGTCTTGATTTTTTCGATCGCTATATTTGGTGAGCAGCAAACTTCCTCGCAGATCCCAGTACCAACTTACGAGGTAATTGTTTGTTTGCGACCGACCATCGATTGAGCGCAGTCAATGTGTACTGCACTCCATTGGCGTTGCCATTCGATCGGCCTGCCATCCTGCCAAATAGTAGTGCACGAAGACGCGAATGCTTCTACGAGAAGGCCGTCTTGCCTGATGTAGGTTGGGAGAATTGCGCAATTGGTGGGTGAGTAGGTTGGATTTTCCGCGAGTTTATTGCTGTGACTCGAGCTTGTCACTTCAAGCTTGATGATTCTCTGGATAACCATAACCTTAAATAAAAATGCACGATTTGCCCGCTTCGTCTACCCTAGTCAATCGAGTCCGGAGTACCACCAGGTACCGACCGGGAATAACCTCAGTCCCCTCAGTACTACTCGAGTACCTCCTACTATTTCCCAATATTAAAAACCCATTCACTCTTCCAGAAACTACCTAATTATCATCTAAATAATTATCTCAAACCCATAGCACCATCACCTACAAACCACCAACCCAAACCATCCCACCAACCAAACCACCAACCACCATGACCCGCCCAGCAATCCTCCACATCCCCCCCGTCCCAAAATCCCTCCTACGAGTAGGAAAACTCCACCTCCGCTGCCACATCAAGCCCAAAACACACACAACACGACAAGGAATCCTCTCCATATCACCCTCCCTCATCTCCGTCTGCGTCTCAGCCGCAGCACGAGAAGGGGAGGCAAATGCAGCCGTTCGGGAGGTATTTAGTAAAGTCAGTTAAGTTATATCTCCCTACCCTATATAATTTCATAATACGAGTATATTGTGAGATGAGATGAAAGGATCTGAATATGTGTGTTTGAATAGATTTTCCACTGTCCCAAATCTGACGTGGAGATAGTAAGGGGCTTGAAATCAAGGGAGAAAACGATTGCGATTTGTGGTGTTGATGTTGAGGGGGATGAAGAGAGGTATATTTCAGCTCTTTATAAGAAATTAGAAGATACCATTGTGAAGAAATAATTCAGTTGTGGTATAAATCAATGTAAGATTATCTCGGAACGCTAAATTTGTACTTTCAACTAACTACCTACGTTATTCTACTCATTTCCAATGATCATCTCATCGTCTGAATCCCCTTTCTTCTTGTCATTAGTCTGAATGACAGACTGCCTATCCCTCCTTGTTCTGTGATAGTAACGCAGTTTGTTTTCCTGCAATAGGCAACGTCTTTTCTACGACCTCTGTGACATCTTCCTTCTCTAAAACTCAATCACAGCTCATCGTGCCTCTCGAAGCCATCATTACCATGAAGTGGTTTCTCAAGTCATTACCAATCCTTATTATACCCGACTAACCTGCCGCCCAAGCATATTTTACCTCGTACTTGAGTACCATTTACATATTAGAACACGATTTCTCGCCATTCGCAACAGACAAGCCAAATCTGGTATACACATCAAGACCTAAAATTTGTTTCCAGAAGGATTTTTTATTACTTTTTTGTATATCCGCAATTCTGTATGCACAAACCATACAGACAGAGACCCATTCCATTTCAGGAACAGGAATCACGCCAACTCTCACTCCAGACACCATCCCAATTTCCAAGTCTTATAAATCCACCAGACTAATACAACGCTGAAGCCAAAACAGAAAAAACCCTATACCCAGATCTCTTTGGATCATTCATTGCTATTTTTCAAGGTCATCCCACGTCTCTTGTGCTCAATAATAAAACGCCACCAATCGCCAATCGCCAAGCTGCGATATATTCCCAATCCCCTCCTTGTTTCTCGCTCAAGTGAAATAACAGGTTCGTAAAAATATCAAACAACGCCTTTCCCTTTACCCGAAACATGATGATCTCCGAAAAAGAGACACGAGCTCTGTTTTCAAGAGCTGCGCTCATAATATCTTTCGCTTCTTAACAATACCGAAGCTAGACAAACGATTACCCGAGCCAATTGATGATCGGTCCGTGTGTCTGATATGATTTTGTGGAGATGTCGTAAAACGCTATAAAACAATTGCTAGGCAAGTGTCGCTGCCAAGCATCCAGTCCGGGCTGAGACTGACGAACCCGAGATGTCACTTAATTTTGACTTATCGCCGAGTGTCCTCAACTTCCAATGGCATAAATCTGGAACCGGTGAGTAGGTTCTTGCAATTTTGGTAGCGGTGATTGGTGGCGGTCAATAGGTAAGCTATTGAGAGGCAGTGGGCGCATTCCAATTCTCATAATCGAAAAAGCTATCCCCGTCTTCATTGCCACCCATTGTAACACCATCGAATTCTGTTGCCTGATTACTCTCGTCGCTGTTGAAAGGCTGTATAGAATCGTTGATGGTGTTGGTATCAGCCGGTGGTGCAAGAGTCGTATTCAATCCATCAAAAGTAGGCTGGATTTGATGCTTGATGGCACCATTTGTGTCTAACAATTGTGTGCCAAGAGCGTAAATGTTGCCATAAGGGTTGCCGATACCAGACATGCTACTGTTCCCTGCCATCACACCACTCCAGTTGTTGAGAAGGGGATCATTGCACATTGCATTGACCGTTGAATCAGAGAACATCTGGGAATCGGCTGGCATGCCAAATGGTCCAAAATTGGAGTGACTAGAACTATTTTGCATCTGTACATGGGTTTGCTGTGAGATGCTTGCCTGGGACATATTCGCCTGGGAGAAAGTTCCAGGTGGGAATGAAGGTCTTTGCTTTGGTGTAATCGTTGCGGACATGGGGGCATGCGTGTCGACTGGACTCATAGCACCCGAAGATGTTATAGGTACCGACTGTCTTCGGTCGTTGATGTTCAAACCAGGATGGGTACGAATTGCCAAAGGGGTGGGACGCTTTGCATCCTGCTCTTTGTCTGGCTCGCCCTCCTTCTCAATCTCCTGCTTCGAATCCTGCTGGGCGCCTTGTGTCATCTGGGCCATTTGAGCCATTTGCTGCTGCATCATTTGTTGTTGTTGCTGTTGAAGTAATGGACGTTGTGGCAATGGGTATGGTGACTGGCGATAACTCATAGGGGTTTGCATTTGCTGCTGTTGCTGTTGCTGTTGCTGTTGCATCATCATCTGAGCGCGCTGCTGTTGATGTTGGAGAGGAAGCATTGGCATTGGTGTTTGAAACATGGGGTTGGGAGCAAATGGCTGCCCTCCCATCGACACGGGTGCTAAGGCAGCAGCCTCTGGAGTGTAAGAATAGTTGATTGCCCGCTCGACAGCAGATCGCATGGCAACATTGGTACACAGGTATGCGGCTAACTTTCGATTGAAATCGGCCGATCCGGTCTGTAGATGAGCTGTGAGTCTTCGGTAGTGAGCAGGCATATCATCATCCTCCTCCTCATACATCTCCTCATTCAATACATCTTGCTCGGTGACTTTCAAGGCACGACCAGTGCGACGTTTGTGAATGTCCGAAGCTCTCCGGGCTGACTCTATCCGGGCCTCTAAGCTTCGATCACTTCTTCGGGATGCTGCAATATATGCGCGCTCCTGGTTCTCCTCGTGGGTGCGTTCGGTCTGTGGTTTTGTGTCAGTCTATGAAATCCCCCAAGCCGGGAATACCAGTACGAGAATGATTGGCGTTACCTTTACTGCTTTGGCGGGTGGCATTGTTCTTGCGAAGGTCATTCTACTGCCGACTGGCTCGAGTGTAGCTTCGGGTCAAGGAGAGATATAAGGTAGTCGACGTTGAAAGTGTGCGGATGTTTGTAATGATTTGATAAACGTACAGGCAGCTAGCTCCCAAGACGATGTGACCTTGCAAGAGAGCAAGTGCGCAAGGTTGGTGGGGATTGGCCAAGTTAGGTGGGTGGCTTTGTCGCCCTGCGATCCTCGTGAAATGGGGAGGGGTCTCGGATCGCACTTGCACTTTGTTGCTTGAGCGGGCCAGGACTCCAGGGAGGGTTACGAGTACCGAGGTGGGTATATACCTAGAAACCTGTGGGTTGATGCTGGTGTCGGAGTGTTTCTGTAAGGGGGTGGAAACGAATCAAACGAGGCAATGATTGATGATAATAATTAAGAAGAATTACTGTGTGGTCGGGTGCAGTAAATAGGATATAGACTTTCAATGGAGAGGGATGAGTTGGGAGACGAGGGGGAGGGCACGCATTTCATAAGAAGGAAAAAGGGTGCAGGTGCAGGGCGGGCAAGAGGTGCGGATAGGGCTAGTCTGATCGCCGGCGTTTTCAGTTCACACTTGCTTGCACTGGCACTGCACTGGACTGGCACTGGCAGAGCCCAAGCTAGAGTTGGCAAGCGCGGAGGAAAAGGGGTCTTGCTGTATTGAGCATAGTGAGCCCTCTCTGCCTTTCGCCGCAGGAGCAGTAAGGTTTCTGGCGAATCGCAGCTGCTGACTGCAGCTCAGAGGCAGCTCAGAAAGTGTCCAGTCGAGGTTGGCTGAAAGTCCGCAGTACCTATGGAAACTTGCGCCCAACTGCTCGCGTGCTAAGCAGTTTGGGGGACAGCACAACAACAGCTTCAAGCAGCTAGACCTAGCGATCCACTTCCCACCACACTGTCAGTACGGAGTACTACTTTGCCTCATACACCACACTTTCAGTACTACTCTACCTCATAGTACAGTACTCGTACAGTACAGCGCGGGAAGTTCCAAGACGGGTGGGGTAACTGGCCTTGACCACCCCAAGTACCAGTAGGTAAATACCTACCAGTAAACCCCACGGCCAGCCTGGGCAGCAGGCGACATCATCGGGCGTTCCATTTAGGGAGGGTTTGCTCCGCGGCGTGGCACAGGAAGGAAGGCGGGGCGGGGGGAGAAGAGGGATGGGCTTTTTAAAATCCCATCTTGTGCCCTCCAGTCGGTGCACCAAGGCACCAAGCACAAGCACAAGCACAAGCACAAGCACAGGCCGAAGGAGCCATGGAAATAACTCGGGAAAATCAAAAAGACGAAGGTTCTGACTTTCCGCCATGGTTGCCGCCAATCGAAACTCTTCCAGTCCGATGGTTGCCCTCTCGCTTCAGACGCTGCATCCGGGTACTGCTGCACCGCGTTGATGTGGGTGAGATCAGGTTCCATCTGGTGGCAACCGAGGTGACAACCCCCCTCGCTAATCGGACGGGGACTCCGGCTAAGCCTTATGGACACGTTCGTGAGATATCCCGATCTCAACCTTCTCCCACAACAAATTTTTACGACGCCCCGTCGGTCTGAGGATAAACGTTATGGTTCGGATCGGCAGGCGTCCGAGCAGACATAATGTTTGTTTATGCTGAACTCCGGAGATAATTCTGTGCGGAAAGTATTCCAGCAAGTCCTACAGAATTGGTGAGTAGGCAACCAACCTCTCGCCCTTACTAAACTAGACGATCCGTTCTAAATTCCATCTAGTCGGCCACTGATATCTGAGGTTTATACTGAATCTGGTAAGCCACCCCAAACGCCGACCATTGGCCATCGTAAGGCGTTAAAACCGAAGCCTATTAGGCCAAACTACTCGAGTACAAAGAAAGAAGCGAAGCAGCTTTATGTTGATGACTAAAAAGTTAGCAGATTCGTAAACCGATTTTCACTTTCCTCAGGACAGGAAAAGGCAGGAAAAACATCGCAATCCTCCCAATTATGACGGTCGATTGGACCCTTGCCCACATGTCAAAAGCTCCAGACTGGCAATTTTGGGAATTCCAATTACCACTTCGCAAGGTCTCCCCTTCTCAACCTCTCAGTCAGCCCAAGTCTTAGCCCCAGCCGAGCCAGCCTACGCGAGCCAACGGCCCACATGGTTCACAAAGGTCGAGAGGCGAGACAACGGGTCGAGAATAGCTTCAGAAGTTCCAGGCGTGGCTTCCTAGCGCCCCCTCTGTCATTTCACAACTGCCGTATTCCTTCTTCCGTACAAGCACAATACTGGTGTCGGCCGAGCTTCAGGGACCAAATACCTAGGTAGTCTCTTTCCCTGAATTTTGAGTTGTTTGCTTTCCTTTGTATGAGTTACAATTGGTTGGATTATCCAAGTATACGAGCCGTATGCTAATCTTTGGTCTATCAGTTATTGTTGATAATAGAGCTGCTAGATTTCGTTCTGCCTATGCAAGTGTTTACATAGGAATTCTCTCTTTTCGATAATAATCCCTTCAACCAAAATATTCCTTGAAATATCGTTTCTCCATCTCAATGTGTTTCATTTCAAATATACAACTTTAGTAACCCAAAAAGGTACGGTACCTGGTGGTACCGTTCTTCCTCCAAAATTTCGATGTCCACAACCTCAATTGGAGCTTCTCCCGATACTTTCCTAGTTTTACCACTTACCTCCAGGGCACGGAAATCACCATAGCGAGCAGGCCTATAATCCCCTTAGCGACAAGACACTATATTATTAGGCCTAAAAAAAACTGGTAGAATTCGTACCTACCAGTAGCTCCGCTCCGTCCAAGAACCCCAAGCAACCCCGAGCTCGACCCACCGATGGGCACTCTATTTGTGAGCGGCTTCTTCAGGTTTAGAGATTCGTTTTTGCCAGATCTCGAGGGCTAGTCCTAGGTATCAGTTCCATCTAAATCGAAAACCCTCTTTTGGTCGGCCCACTGTCAATTCTGCAAATAGCCAGCCAGTGTGCTGCTACAGTAGGTAGCTGCTTGTTTAGGTGCTAGGAGAGCGCGCCTATTCGATTCTCGCTTACTACAGTACCTATGAGTTTCTTTCAGCTTCAGCCTTAGCTGCTCTACCTACTCGGGCCGTGAGAAAACTCCGCTCCTAAGTAAAATTTACCAAGATATTTCAGGAAAAGTGGTTCTGGAGAATTCCGAGGTTCGCTGTTCGCTGTTCGTTCGCTGGGAGCCCTTTCTTAGCCGCACTACGTAAGAGCCTCACTACTACTACTTACGGAGTACACCTCGCTAACCCTTCTCTTTACCCTCACCTAACCCAGGCCCAGGGCTGGACCACCTACCTACTCCACCCAGTACTCCACCCACTCACTACCCTCAACAAACCTCCCCTTAAAGCGTCCAAGGGATTCAAGAAAGCAACTATCGAAAAAAAGTAGCATCCTTATTCCAAGCTGTGACGATTCTTTACGCAGCTGTGAATGAATTCAGAATCCTTTTTTTAGGCTTTTTGCTATGTACTGTTGTACGTCAGAGTGGATTTTCGCACGCGCAGCTGAGAAGGGGAGGGAAGGGGAGCTGGGTGATTGAATTCAAAGCCAGCACTTTGCCTTGCCTTGAGCTTCGTCCCACGAAGAGTTTCGCCCTTCCCATTTTAATAGAAGCTGATTTGATTTTAAACCCCAAGTAGGACTGGCTATCCTCGGCAAACAAGTGATTTCCTTGCTGGTCTAATGAGTTGGTGTTTGTAGCATAAAGAGAACCACATCACCGTGGATGGGTTTCTCACCTTTCGGGCGCTTCCTTGATCTCGTAGTATAGGCGGGGGAGTTGGATCTTTTGCTATCTTTGAGAGATGGGTTGAGTTGACTGCGTTGAGTTTAGCTATTTCTTTTGTGTGCACTTTCTAGGTGGTTTTTTGGGAGGGGACTTTGATAAAAGGGGTGAACGTGCAAAGTGCAACACTGTAATGTACTGATTGTACTGATTGTACTTTCAAACCCCATCTGATGCAAGCTATCAACACAAATGATGCGGAGAGAAAGAAACTCCCCTACGCCATTTTCCCCCTAAACGCCTATCGCTAAAGCACCGAAACTTCATGCAATTTCCATTACCGATCTTTCGCTGAACTCCTCCATAACCTCCCAGATACTCAACTCTCAGTCCTTGTAAGCGTCTGTCAAGGGCACATAATTGACGCCCATTAATTTCTCTTTGCTAACCACCCCTTCCTTATTCTTATCAATCACCCAAATGTATTGGTATCCCGTACTCTGCTCCTCGACTGGTATGAAAATCCTATATTCACTTCATTAGCAAGAATTCCTGAAACTCACCACACTTGTTTCCTTGAACTCCCCCTTCAAAAGTTTGGAAACAAAACCACAACGAACCCCCATAAACTTAAAACAACAAACTCACCGTCCAGGACTCTTCAACTGCTCCACCAGCTCCCCATGAACCTCCTTCGCCGCAGCCCCAACATGAATAGCATCCCACCCCATTCCCTCCCCTTCTCCCTCCCTCCACC